CACATAGCAATTTTTTAGTACTGTAAGATCTAGACACAGCAATCAGATAACACAAAGAGATAAAAGGCATCCAAGTTGGTAAGGAAGAAGTAAAAGTGTAACTATTTGCAGATGACATGATATCATATATAGAAAACTCTATAAAGACTCCACCAAAAAGAAAACCTATTAGAACTAATAACTGGATTCATCAAAGTTGCAGGATACAAAATCAATATACAGAAATTTGTTGCATTGCTATATACTTAACAATGAACTAGCAGAAAGAGAAATCAGGAAAACAATTCCATTTACAGTTGCATCAAAAAGAAATAATACAAAAGAATAATCTAACCAAGGAGGTTAAACCTGTGCTCCAAAAACTATAAAACACTGATGAGAGAAATTAAAGAAGACACAAATAAATGGGAATCTCTCCCATGTTCATGGATAGGAAGAAATAATATTGTCAAAATAGCCATCCTGCCCAAAGCAATTTATAGATTCAATGCAATCCTTATGAAAATACCAATGCCATTTTTCAGTGAACTAGAGCAAATAATCTTAAAATTCATATGGAACCACAAAAGACTCCAAATAGCCAATGAAATCTTGAAAAAGAACAAAGTTGGCAATATTACTCACCCTGACTTCAAGCTACACTACACAGGTATAGAAATCAAAACAGTATGGTACCAGCACAAGAACAGACCCATAGATCAATGGAACAGCCCAGAAATAAACCCACACACATCTGGTCAATTAATATATGATAAAGGAGCCATGAATATACAATCTGTAAAAAACAGTCTCTTCAGTAAATGGTGTTAGGAAAACTGAACAGCTACATGCAAAACAATGAAACTGGATTACTGTCTAACTCCATACACAAAAGTAAACTTCAAATGGATTAAAGTCTAAATGTAAGACACGAAACCATAAAACCCTTGGGGAAAATATAGGCAAAAATCTCTTGAACATAAGCATGAGCAATTTTTTTCTGGACATATCTCCCTGGGCAAGGGAAACAAAATCAAAAGTGAACAAGTGGGAATACATCAAACTAAAAAGCTTCTGTACAGCAAAGGAAACCATCAATGGAATAAAAAGGCAACCTACAATATGGGAGAATATATTTGTAAATGGAAGAATTTATTCAATAAGGGGTTAATATCCAAAATATATAGCAAACTCATACAACTCAACACCAGAAATCCAAACAACCTGATTTAAAAAATGGGGAAAGGACCTGAACAGACATTTTTCAAAAGAACTACAGATGGCCGACAGGCACATGAAAAGATGCTCGACATCACTAGTCATTAGGGAAATGCCAATCAAAACCACAATGAGATATCACCTCACATCAGTTAGAACGGCCACTATCCAAAAGACAAGACATAACGAGTGTTGGCTAAATGTGGAGAAATGGGAACTCTCCTACACTGCTGGTGGGAATGAAAATTGGTGCAGCCATTATGGAAAGTAGTGTGGAGGTTCCTCAAAAAACTAAAAATAGAAATACCATAAGACCCAGTAACTCAACTTCTAGGAATTTACCCAAAGCAAATAAAATCTCTGACTTGAAAAAATATATGCACATTTACGTTCATTGCAGCATTATTTACAATAGCCAAGATATGGAAGCAACTTAAGTGTCCATCAAAGATGAACAGATAAAGAAGATGTGGTATATATATATAATGGAATATTATTCAGCCATAAAAAAGAAAGAAATCCTGCCATTCGTGACAACATGGATGGACCTAGAAGGTATGTTAAGTGAAATAAGCCAGGTGGAGAAAGACAAATACCATATGATTTCAGTTATTTGTACAATCTAAAACCAAAACAAAACAAATAAAACAGCAGTAGACTCAGAGACGCTGAGAAGTGACTGGCAGTTACCAGAGGGAAGGGTTGCAATGGGTGGGTGAGGAGGGTGAGGGGGGCAAAGGGGCACAAAAATCTCAATCATAATATAAGTTGGTCATGGGGATGGTAGCATAATATGGAGAATATAGTCAATGATTCTGTAACATCTTCCCATGTTGCCAGATAGTAAATGTACTAGTGGGGGTGAGGATTTAAAATACAGGTAACTGCTGAACCACTGTATTATATGAAACCAATATAATATTGCACATCAACTACACTTCAATTTAAACAAATTTATTAAAATAAAAAAAACTAAGTCAGATCATGCCTACCTGCTCTCAAAACTATGCAATGCCTTCTCTTTCCATTCTCTCCAATAAAACTTAGACTTGAGTATGGTCTACAAGGCTTTTCAGGATCTGTCTCCATGCTGCAACTTCCCTATGCCCATCTCATTCTCTTTCTCTGTCACTTTCCTACTCACCCCCTCTGCTGCAGCCATGCTACTTGCTCCGCTCACTGTTCTTCAAAGCACCAATCATATGCTTACCTCAGGGCCTTTGCACTTGCTGTCCCTTCTGCCTGGAATGCTTTTCCCAGAGACCAAGTCTCACTCTTGCATTTCATTCAGGTATCTGCTCACAGGAACTTCTCTGATCAATTATTAAAATAGTATACTATTCTTGCTTTCTGTCATTTTACCATGCTTGATCTTATCACTTATGAATAGCACTTATCACTACCTAATATACTGTATAATTATTTGTTAAAATTGTTGCATGTCTCTTCAACAACTGTAAATTTCATGAAAGCAGGGATTTTGCTTGTTTTTGTTTCCTGCCTGGTCCTTCTCCATTGGTACGGCTTGGTGTCTATAACAGTGCCTGATACTTAGTAGGCACTTAATAAATACTTGTGAATTTACCTGTGGAATGAATAAATAAATCTTTACATTTCTATTCTAAATTGGGATAGGGCTAAGGTGGTAAAAAAGGCAATAACATACAGCTTACAAGTGTAAAAAAAAAATCTTAAGAAAGTATGGCTAGAACCAATCTCATTTCTTTTCCAAAATGTGGGAACTTGAAAAATTACCCATGGGTAAGTTCTTTATTTTTCATAAATTGAAAAGTATAATGGCTAAAATACTTTCGCTAAGTCTCTCTTTGATTTATGGGACTTTTTCATATTTTCAATGATATCCTCCATAAAAAAAAAAAAGTGACGATGGAGTTGAACACTATTAAGTGACTGAGGAATTCCTGAATCTTGCCATAATATGTAGCCATAATATGTTGCCAAGGGATGTCGCAAATGAAAACCAAATGTCTGTTTCCCAGTTTTCTTTAGTAAACTGGGAAGGTCACATACTCAAGTGCAAGGAGCAATGCCAACCTGCCCTGAGACTGAATCCCAATCTTTTCATTTTCCCACCATCTTGCCAATGAGATAGCAGAGCCCCAAATCACACCTGGGATGAGAAGGACTTTTCTGCTCCCATTCCACATATCTTGACTGCTACTCTAATTCTTTCTTGGCTTCACAATGCCGCACTCACCTCCTATTCCCTCTTCATCTGTGCCCCTCCACTTCAGTCTCCTTTTCTGGTTCTTCCCTTTCCCCACTCCTAAATGTTATGGGTTTCAAGGCTCAATTTTGGATCTCTTATCTTTTCTCCTCACAAACTCTCTCTAGGAAGTGCTACCATTCCTGCAAATTTAATTTCGGTGTTTTATTTGTAGAAATGTCCAAACAGAACAAAAATAGATCAAGTAATACACTGAACACCTATCTTTCACAATTAGCAACATGCAGTCAATTTTATTTGATCTAAACTCCTATTCCCTGATCTATTCTCACTGGATGATTTTAAAGCTATTTCCAGACATCATGTCATTTCATCTGTAAATTCTTCAATATGTATCTTTAAAAGATAAACACTTTTAATGTAAACAAAATAACACTATCGAATTTAGAAAAAATTAGTAATTCTTTAACTTTGACGAATATTCAGTGTTTAATATTTGTAATTGTTACTCTTACTGTCTACACATGTCTTCTAATCATCGGTTTGTTTGAATTATAAGCCTAACAAGAGCTGAACATTGCATCTTGGGTGGTACTGGGTACTTCCTTATTGTATCATATCAAGCACACATAATATCTGGTTGTTCAATCTGTAAAATTAATGTATAAAATAAAATAAAATGAATCATCTCTGTTCCAACTTTATGGCCACACTGTAAAATGGTGTGAGATGGCACCAGCATCTGAAAAGCCAGCTCCTCTCCTGGTCTCCCTCCGGGGTGGCAGGGACTTGGTCATGTCTAGGTTGCTCCACCATCCTGTTTTGCTTCTCAGCTCTTCTTGTCACTTGTGTATGCAATGCCCTCAATTTAATTAACTCTGAAAGACCTGAGTGTTTCTTGTTTTAGACTGAGGGATTGATATGACAAGGAGATTACAAGTTATACTTTTGGATATGATGTGCCTGAAGTGCTATTAGGTGCGACGAACATAAAATGTAAACTCCGTGCTGTGGCCAATAAAGCGCTGCATGATCTGGTCTCCTGCTGCCTCTTCATTCTCTTCAGCACCACCTTCTCCCTTATCCAGCCATTCTCTCAGCAAACTGGCCTTTTCTTTTTTTTCTTCAAAAGAGCCACAGACCTTTAAACAAGCAGGTTTCTATGCCTGAAATTTTCTTACCCTGGCCTTTCTCAAGGTTGGTTTCCTCTTATTTGAAACATCCCCCTCACAGTGAGACATTCCCTAAAGACCCTGCCAGCAGGGTTCCTTATCACTGTCCATCATTTCCTTTATGGCCTTTGCATAATCCATAATTATATGATTTATTTGGATGTTTACTGTTTAGATCCTTAAGTATACTGTAAACTTCACAACACAGGAGAGAAATCATGTCTATTTTGTTGACCTCAATGCCTGGAAAATTGTATCTGCAATGAAAAGAACGGATCAGTGAGTTCCAGAGCTGACCAGGTATTCTGGGAGCAGACCTGGCTGCGTCAGTTCACATCTTAGGCTGCAGGGAGGCAGGAAACATCAGAGAAGTCTATGCCCTAGTTCAGAATCCTTGATGCACTCTGAGAGCAGCTCTCTGAGATAAATGCTTAAAAACATACCCTTGATTTTGGCCTCTTTGTGGGTTTCAGAAGGTGGGTAGAGAATTTCTTTTCTCCTCTAGAAAAGAGAAGACAAATTGAACCGAATTGAATCATTGGGTAAGAAATGTAGCTATGAGTAGCTTGATTAAATCAGTGCTACTA